GTGCATGCTGGAGGTCCTGGTTTGATGGGGCCAACAGGACAACGTCATCTGCAAAAAGCAGAGACGAGATCCTGTGGTCCCCAAACCGGACTCCCTCCGGCCCCTGGCTGCGCCTAGAAATTCTGCCCATAAAAATAATGAACAGAGCCGGTGACAAACGGCAGCCCTGCTGGAGTCCAACATGCACTGGAAACAAGTCTGACTTACTGCCGGCGATGCGAACCAAGCTCCTGCTCTGGTCGTACAGGGACCGGGTGGCCCTTAGCAAAGGGCCGCGGACCCTGTACTCCCAGAGCACCCCCCACAGGGTGCTGCAAGGGACACGGTCGAATGCCTTCTCCAGATCCACGAAGCACATGTGGACTGGTTGGGCAAACTCCCATGAATCCTCCGCCACCCTGAAGAGGGTATAGAGCTGGTCCAGTGTTCCACGGCCAGGATGAAAACCGCATTGTTCCTCCTGAATCCGAGGTTCGACTATCGGTCGAATTCTCCTCTCCAGTACCCTGGCATAGACTTTCCTGGGGAGGCTCATAGGAAAAAATATGTTCATTTACTGAATAATGCCATTAGGAAAAAGCAGGGCTGATAATGTATCTCAGTATTTTTCTGTATTACATTTGACATACAGGAGCTGCATCTTACACACTGATCTACTGGCTGTATAGGCTTCACCATTTTGTATTGTTGTGCCGTCATCCATATTAGGCCTATATTAGTTTTTTGTTGTACCTCAGTTTATTAGTGCAACCCCAATATGTGCTCCCCTTTCTCTGTAATTTTCCTGTCTTTTTCACATGGTTAATAATTTTAAACTAAAATGTGATGATGACTTTGATCTGTCTCACCTGAGTGGATTCCTATTCGTATCCTGACGGACATGTCTGGCATGTGCCGCATACGAAAGGTTCCCACTGAACTGAGGATGTTCAGGGACATGTTGGCGATCTCAGCAGCATGCTTGTTGCCATTTCTCTTTGGCAAACCTGATGCTACCATGTAAGCATCACCAATGGTCTCCACCTGGGCATTGTCAACATATTTATCTAGTTATGGGCACGTCATTGTGTTTTTGTTCTGAATACGTAGACACAAAATTCTGTCATCATAAAGAGATATGAAGGGAAGCTTAAACTCAACATCTTCATAAGCTCCTCTCTGAACAAACTGGTAAAAAATGAGAGTTTACTATGACTACTGAGCACGCCCTCTGACCTTATAGACATCATGGTTACTGAGAACGGCGTCAAACAGGGTGTAGAGGTCATTCAGAAGGTCAACCACCTCAATGGGTTCACTGAGTGAGGAGATAGTGGTGAAACCCACAATGTCGCTGAAGTAGAGCGTCACCTGGTCGAAGTACTCCGGTTCCACTGTGCCAACAGTCTTCAGAGCCTCGGCTACAGAGCTGGACAACAGAGATTTTCAAAAAATTTACAGGAATCAGGGAACCAGTACATTTGTTCCTAAACTTAATCATAATGTGTGGGTGTGTTTGTTAACTCACGGTGGGAGCATCTCTGAGAGTAACTTCTCTGTTCTCTGTTTTTCCACCTCCAGCTCTTCTGTTCGCTCTCTGATGAGGTCCTCCAGGTTGGAGCTGTACTGCTCCAGCATCCTCAGCATGGAGTCAATAATGTTGGTCTTCTTACCCTTGTTAATAATCTTGAACTAGTAATAAAAAAAAATTGCAGAATCATTTTAAACAAAATATATAATATTCCTTCAATTGGTTAATTCTGATGTGTTAATAACTTTAGGCTATGAAAGAAAAATCCTACAGTGGTGTTTAAAAAAAAAATTTACCCTGTCAAAAATCTCATCAAATGTTGGTCTGCGGTCAGGAAGTTCGCTCCAGCACTGTTTCATCAGCTGGATACATTCCAGAGGGGCCTGGTCCGGGGCCACGGTCGGGCGGCACATTGGAGGAGGCTTCTTCACTTTACGGATGATTTCTAGTGAGAAAACGGAGGGGACACAGGAAATGTTAATCCAGTGACTAGGTATCAATATTGTGTTGCCTGTGAGCTCTTCGCATTTTCATTTCATTACAGCTACATCAAAAGTATAGTAAATATCGGTGACATGCTCCTGAAATCTACATTTCAATTGTTAAAAAAACAACTTCTGCTTCTTCTACACTCCGTCTCCTTCACTGTGAAGGGAATACACCTTCAGGTGGTAGACCCAGCATGCAGTATGGTGCCCCTCTGACCACCACCTCTTGAAGGATAATAGAAAAGCTGTACACATCTCCCTTGTAGGTCCCTTTACGAGTGCTTGCAGGATCCCTTAGAAACTCTGGCGCCAGCCAAAAGAGATCTGAGTCAAACAAAGGAAAAAGTTGCCAGTCACCACCGATTTGAATACATTTTAGCTGTGTCTTTGTGTATGTGTGCGGTATTGGACATAAAGCAAATTTTAACACAGCAGTTAAAATGTTTAAGTTGTAGATAGTATAGTTATCAGAATTTTGGAATTCTATGGATTGAAAACAGGTGGGTTCATTCTATAAAATGTGTTGTATAGTACACAAATAGGTTTAGATCTCAATGACACTATTTTCTTTTTCCAAAGTAGAGGTTACCTTGAGGCCGAGGTTTTTCTAAAGGAGCTTTCTGAGACTCCAGCAGTTCATTGAAGCCATAGTCAGTAATCTTGAGGACAAATCGCCCATCTACTACACAGTTACGAGATTTTAGTCTGCCGTGGGGAAATTCTCTGTGGTGAAGATATTTCATACCCTGAAAATACAACACAATCAACTGTTTTGAGAGTCATAAAGAGATTATCAGATAAAATATCAGTAGTTAATTCAGGTAAATTCACCTGTGGCAAACTGTGAATAAGTGGTAGGGTTGTTCTAAAAGCTACACGTTTTCATCATCTACAGCGTATTTATGTTTACCTTGATGAGGTCAAGCACGAGTGAGGACTTAAACATCCAGTCCAATTTAACATCTTCGTTCCTCAGCAGGTCCTGCAGACTGCCCCGTGAGCAGTGCTCTGTCACCACTGCAAACACAGAGCAGTCTGAAAAGAAGCCGATGAACGGACTGACATTCTCATTTCTGAGGTCCTTCATCTGAGAAAGCAGATAAAGTTGATAGAATTGTGAAAAAGCAGATTTGTCCAAAAAACCATAATACCATATACAGGCAGGCGACAAATTATCCACAGGGCATGAGGGGATCACTGAATGGTTTGGTGTGAAAATTATGTATCATATGCATAGGCCTTCACAGTCACCAGCTCACAGCCCATTTGAACATTTTTTTTTTGCACAGGTTAAGACATTTGCTCTACCTTTGTGAAAACCTTTGTGGTGCTCTGCTTCACCTCTTTGAACTGTCCCTCTGCAAATTTCTTCAACCAAACCCAGTCGCCCTTGAAGAGAAACCATGTTGCTTTAATGGGTTCAGTTTTGTTTTGAGTGTTGTCTTTCACATACAGTGTAACCTACCTCATACACAGCAACACTGGTGTTCTCAAGAGTTGCTGCCTGCACACTGTTAACAGAATGTGAGGGGTCTGCAGATTTCTCATCCAGAGCACTCTTAGACTCGTTCAGATCCTCTAAGGTGATTTTCTGTGGAACATAAAACACCAAGGTAAGATATAATAAAAATGGGTTGAACTCTTAAACATTAAATTATTTCAGGAGAATGTGAATAGAAACAATGGATTGATAGAATAATTTCTGTAAATGTAATATTATATTGATGACTGGGCAACAGTGATACTGCTTACCTTCTTGCTAAGCTGAGGATGGATAAATGTGAGATCATCTAAGGTTAGGAGGATCCGATTAGGACCTTTGACCAGCTGGATTTGTCGGAGTCGGCTCCTGCCATTGACAAGTATTCAATTTAACCAGTGGTTGTGGGTTTCCTAAGATTATCTTAAATATCATATTTGGCACAAAGAAAGCTGCTTTAGATGAGAACTATTTGAGTTTCCTATTAGCATATGGTCATCAGATTGGAAGATATAGAACAAGTCTCAGGATTTTTAAACTCAATAATTAAGTCTCCACTTTTGGAAAGGTTTACATGATTTTAGTGATATTCTAAGTACTTATGTGCTCAGTTGCCATGGTCAGGGAACTATATACAGTAGCATGGTTGAACTTCCAAGCTAAAACTCAAAAATGTGGGTGACTTTCTTCTATTTAACTATGATCTTTCTTCTCCAGAGATGATCTCTGTGTTGACTAATACTCCTTCAATCTTTCTTTTTTACTCTTAGGTATTTGCAGTACGCAGAACATCACACCATAGTTTTTAAAGGAACATACAAATTAATTTGTTTGTATTTACAGGTTTTACCTTATATAAAGACTTATGCCAACACCTCCTACAGCCAGAGCCAACACAACACCCAACACCACTATGATGTAGGTGACCTCCACACCTAAAGATAAAAACAGGTAACTTGATTGCATGGGAAGTGAGGACTGGGGGAAAAAGATAGCAAAACCAAATCAGGAACATGCCATAAAACTGTAGAACTGAGCAAACGTCCATACAAACTCTTGAGGAAACATACTCATACAAAAACATGAATTTAAACCCATGCCAAAAGGAAACACCTAACCTCCTGTGCAGATGGCATTCTTTTCAAACCAGCAGCTGGAATCAGAGGGTGGAGGAGTTCCTCCTGGAAAATTAATGGACCTCCCTGCAAAAAGAAGCACTTCAGATGTCAGATCCACCAGATAGGTCTGGTACAGCTGACTCCCCCTGTTGTCAGTGTCCAGGATGACATAGCTGGTCTTGACCTTCCCACTAGTGTCCACTCGGACCTTCTGGTTGAAGCCGCTGAATGTAGTGTTCTTTGTGAAGTAGGCTAGGTTGGAGCCTGAGAGCTGCATGCCTGCCCTCCTGGCATTATGGATGGATTTTGCCAGCAGATAGAAGCTGTTATAGATGGTCCCAAACAGTGGATTAACCTGTAAGGGTGATTGAGAGTTGTTGTTAGGGGCACAAGAGAAGTCAACTTTGATGTGCATATGGGGACCTGAGTATAGTGTTAGGACAGACTTGGGAAATAGGTGAACCTGTTCTTTAATTCCTTGTTGTGACATGCAAGTGGTTCCTACCTCCTCTGCATTTACATCTAACATCAATTCCTCACTCTTCTTGGCGGCAGTGAACGCCTCGTTGAAGGACAAAGGCTCAGAGGCCATAGTGATAGTGAGCACAGCATCGTAGGCCTCCATTAGTCTGCTGTTGTTTTGCAGGGGCAAATAAGAGATGTTGGTGTAGGGCATGCTGTACAGGAGGGTGTCATAGGGGAAAAACACATATTTCCCTGAAGTCAGACCCATTTCCTGTGCCTTGAGAAGAAAATTAGCCTGCTGCTGTCCTCCAAGCAAGACTGAGTGCATGCACATGATGATGACTGAAACAGACAAGGACAGAACACTGCAGGGATGTGATAAAGTGTGTTTTATGAGAATATGTAGCGTGACAACACTGGTGAATTCTGACATTTAAGTATTATTAGATGATTAGTGGAGAAATGTACAGTTAATCTTACTTATTCTTGGACAGATGCATTTAAAGTGACATTACCTCCATCATGTGATTATGAAGTTTTATAAATTGACTGAATGTCTAAAGCTAAACCTAAAAATTACTTAACAAAATGCAAATTGGTGTACTCTGGGGGAAGCACTGACCATGTTATTTACCATGAGGTCACTTTGATTTTTGCACCTAGCCTGTGACCTTTTTTCCATGTCAAAGCACTGACCATGTTATTTACCATGAGGCCACTGTGATTTTTGCACCTGGCCTGTGACCTTTGTTCCATGTCATTACACATCTCTCTAGTAAAAGCTGCAATTTCCATAGAAGATGTAAGTGATTGCTGTTGAAAGCAAACACATTAATTTACAGCCCTAGTTTACCTTAACCACAAGGTGAAATTTGCAGCATCATAATGACTTCTCAGTTAGTGGTGCCCTACTGAAGTGGATGCGTAAAGCTGGGATGTAAGAATATTTTTGTGGAGTAACTCAGCGTAGCTGATGGTTTGCTATTTTGCATCTCTATAGGTTGTTCATTTGTGATGCTGTATCTGTTTTTATATTACAGGTCATTTATTTCTATAAAGCCACTATTTCCATAATGGAGCCATGGTGATCTTATCCTACTTTGTGATTATCTCTCCTGGTATCACTTTAATACATCTTACAGAAGCATTTTATCACTGTAAAAGTACTATTTTCCTCATAAACTTACCCCTAATCTCTCCTGCATCCTGGATCCTTTTTAGTGTGCTCTCCACCTCTGTATCATTTAGACCAATAGATGCAACCAAGCCAATGGAAAGTCCCATACTCCTCACAGCAGTGGCCACACTTACAGCAGTATCCATCCAAATATCCTCGTTGGATGAGACTACAACAATGCTGGCCCATCTGAAGTGTTTCAAAACGATGAACAACACCTCAGTGGGAAAAGGCACTGTCCTTGCAAATGTTGGGTATCCTGTGTGTCGGTCCAGCTCATAGTTAAGACAGCCATAGGAGAAAACAGCCTTATTCCAGTTTTTGGCCAGCAGAGAAGCTGAGGTACAGTATCCGGGGTTGGTGGGACCCAAAAACACATCTGCCATCTGCTCATAGTAAATAAAAGTGGTGAGGGCTTTAGAGGTTTCACAAGACTCCTGGAGGATGATGAAATCCATTTTTAGCCCAAGATCAAGGCTGGGATCACTGTTTACCCTGCTTACAGCAAGCCTGGCAGCCACAGCAGGCTGGACCCTGTAATACAAAGGGTCACAGTTCCAAGGCCCTAACACCCCCACTTTGAATATTAAACAGCGGACACAACAAGGGAATGTCAGCACTCCTAGGAGGACCCAAAACAGAATGTTATTAAGGGGCAATGTAGTTAGAGTTGATCTGCTTTTAATTATGGCCATACATAGATGGTTGGACTCCCACAGTGCCCCTCTGAAATGAGAAGGAATATGTTGCATTGTTTTTCCAGGGTGTCCAAATTTTTGTATTCACTTTTGGCTCATCAATTACACCAATGCCACCTGCAAAACAAATGAAAATACATGTTCTGGGATTGTATCATTTAAAAACAAAAGCTTTAATGAATCAAAAACAGCTGAATTAAAACAAACAAACCACTTACCACTTCTTTGATGCCATCAGGACAGTTTTAAGGCCAGATGAGACAATTGTACAATTGTCCTGCTTTTCTGACTCCACATAATTTGTGAACTAACCACCCCACACCCTTTCCTATTAACCGCAAAGATCCACAGTGTTGCTCTGGCAAAGACACAGCCAAGTCATTGTGTTTGAATTGCAGGCTGACAGCGAAAGGCAGGGCTCATGCGCTGCGTCTGTTGCGTCTGGAGACAACTTCAGCACCCTGGAGAGCTATTTACTCCCCCAGTCAGCACTTCTAAAAGCTCCTGTATGCTTCCAAAAACAGCTCTGTTCATAAAAGTGGCCCTCAGCTTTTTAAAAAATATGTATTTCAAAAAACAAACAAACAAACAATATATATGTATATATATCAGATATTCCAAATCAAGCAAATCACGTTCAAAGATGCTCAATCTCCCTCAAAAGCCTTACTGAATAATATAAATTGGAAGCATTTGATGAGTGTCAGCTTCAGTAAAATCCTTCCAAAGTGGCCTGAGGCCAAAATGCAGGTGCTACTCATTAATCCATTGTCAGTGAGGCACAATATAAGAGGATTGACAACAGGCCTTACTCTACTCTTAAAGCTTTGTTGTCATCCAGGCTCGAGGAGCAACCAGGCCTCTTATCATCATTTGAAATACTGCTGTGTAAATTTGTCATAGATGCTTTATCTCATTAAATATAATGATAATGATATAGATAATTAAGTACATTAATAAGCTAAAATACAAAATCATAGTCTAGACCTAAACGTGTATATGACAAATATTAAGTATACAAACACGTTCTGATTTTTATTTATTTATTTATTTATTTGTCATGGAAACATCTCAGCTGTATTGCAGGAAAACAAATGAACCATGCTTTAATTGGTCTAATATGCGCACAGCAGGTCCCACAGATTAAATGAATTTGAACCCTGGTGGAGTGGGAGTAATTAAAGATAATGGAGGGCTCTCTCTGTGGATGCTACGAGTTTTGATGTGTATTGCCTGCGTCAGTCCTTTCAGCTTGTTTTTGGAAAGGCTCCACTGGTGAAACTGCCTGCCTGGAAAATGACTCCACAAACAGCCAATTGCTACAGCATCTGCCCTCAGATGACAGTAATAAATAAGAGTATGGGCTGGATCAAAGACTTATCAAAACCAGACCAGACCAGTTAGCTACTGGTAGCTTAAATGTAAAAGAAAGGCAAAAAAAACAACAAAAAAAAACAACAAACTAGGTGTTTGTTTTAGGGAATGCTAGTATAAATTACTAGATTATACAGACTTTGATATAATGTTGTAGATCATCACCACATCATTTTCAGTGACCTCTGAGGAATTGTAATTGACCCATACAGAGTAATACCAACAAAAAAGGATAAGCTATGCTTGGAATCCACAGACATGCCGTATATTCTTAAAAGCACTGCAAACTTTAACATTTTGTCTGGACAATGAGTCCACCTTTGTTGACCTGTATCCCAGCTAAGCTGATGAGCCTCTTAAATTTAACACCTTGACAGCACTGTTCTGCATTCAGGGATAGAGGACCTAAACGACAACTCAGCGCAACATCTACCCAGTGAGCAGTGAACACATCTGATGCTGCTACCCTGTATTGTGTGAAAGGAAACACAAGTAGTCTCCACAGGTTAAATAAATAAAATAAAATTAAATATTTCCCAATGTAGAATAGAAAGTTAAATCACCCAGAATGTATCAGGCTCCAACCAACCAAGACACATCTCTGTCATTATACAGTATGGAACAAGGGGGAAATATGAAATGCAGTTTGAGCAAATAAAGGAGATGAAATATGAAAGACACTCTGTGATAGACTGGCAACCTGTACAGGGTGCACCCCGTCTCTCGTCCAGTGTTGGCTGGGATTGACTTCAGCCCCCTGTGATCCTATTCGGGGAATAGGCGGTATAGATATTGGATTGATGGATGGATGGAAATATGAAAGACTATACAAGTGAAAAGTAAATGGAGACACCGGAGAAAATAATATTGGAATATCTTCAAGTCCCTTTCACTTTTAATATTGAGATTAAATTGAAATGTGCATGATGAAAGTCCTCTCAACAAAAGCAATTGCTGAGTATTGCTTATGCTACAATTGTCAGGGAGGGGTGTGTGAAGCTTCCGTGAAGGTGTGAACCCAATTAAAGAGCCAGAAAGCTGAGGCAGCAGAACAGGTTTCAATGTCTTTCTGCAAGTTAGACATGAACAGACGCAGTCTTGAGGGATCAGGCAGAGAGCAGTCCTTAGTTCACTCTGAGGTCGAAATCTCCAGCAGGGCAGCGGTGAAGGCATGGCAGAATCATACGTCGATAGAACAGGCAGGGTGTTGATCTCAGGATAGCAGTCAGGCAAGAGGGAGGAAGCTGGATCACAGGTCGGTAGAGCAGGCAGGGGTTCGGTATCAGGATCACAGTCACTAGAAAATAATACTGGAGAGTCTAAACAGGGCATAAAACAATCTGGCAGTTCCCCATAAGGTGAGGAGCTGCTATATACTGTGGTGAGCAGGTGTGAGTGATTAGGGGGCAGGTGAAACCAATGCGCATGAGATGAAGTTAGCGGGAGTTAGGGTAAGCTGGGGACAGGAAGTGGTGTCAGAATAAAATCAGGACCGGAAGCTGACGGGGCAGGATCATGACAACAATAACAGATGATAAGGTTTAATTAATATGAGGTACAGTATACGAATCTGTCATTTAAACTCACAAAATAAGATAACATTGTTTATGTGCATTAAGTTAAAAAGGATGATTGTTTTGATGAGGAAGAGTAAATACTGAATAACTAGTACTTTGAAGCTATTTTGAAGATATTTTACATAACATTCTTCCATGACAGCTAAGAAGAGCCAAGAGCTTCAGACTTTTTGTAACTTTCTTAAGCAGTAAACATTCACTACAAGTTTTGTTTTTAATTATTTGTCTGCAAAGTGTATATCCATGAATACAACTCAATATTTACTATTAACCACCCTGGGGGCATATTATACACTATAGTAGACTAATTGACAGTAAGTTTCACTGTAATAAAGGCTCAGTATGAATAACTAAAACCTAGTGATAGGCTAATCTGCATGTAATACAAAATAATAACACGTTTGCTTTAGGTAGATTATTCATTATCATGGCTTAGAAGATACTGGTCATACAGGTTATATGATTTTGTTCTTACAGACTATTATCATACTTTGCATTTTGTCTGCCTGTGCTCTTATCTTATCTTTACAGCCTTGAAGAATCCCAGACACTACAACATGCAAGACAACTGTGTGTGAGTACAAGTTGCTATATGCGTAACACCAAATGACATGTCAAAATAGGTTCCCCTTACTGTTTAGTGTGTGACATGTTTTTATTTGAGAGAAATGAATAATTATGCTCCTTTTTCATGCTCTTCAGAGTGAATGTGAGTTGAAGCTGCTGTACAGTATGAACACAATGTCTGCAGGCAGAGATAGAGTGCAGTGGGCCCTCAGCATTGTGTGAGCAGCACAGTTTCGCTATTGTATATGACCTCCAATACTATCATGTGGAAGAGTTCTCCCAGGCCCTAACCTTGGTGCCATCTAGAGGATATAGTGTAAGGAGTGGTGCATGCTGTGTTTTGCACTGAGATAGAGGGAATCAACTTTATGCATCAGGGAATCATTTGATTTACCTAACTCCTGTCTAGACTAGGTATTGCAAATGTCCTACATTTCCAAGTAACTTCTCCTCATAACTTACTCTAGCCAAATGATCTCTTGTTTTTCAGAGAAAATGAATTTATTTAAACCTGCAGGATTGTCTATGCAATGGTTGCCTACCACACTAAACGCTCGTTTTTGCATAAAACCAGGATGGAACTTAGAGAACAACAGGAAAGGTCTGGGTTTCCGTTCACATTAATTCTCTTATCAGACTCATCGTGTTATGAAAATCATGTCAGAGGAAACAGACCACCGCCTTGTTGCGCAACGCCGTAAATCAACTTCTCTTTTCTTGTGGGTTTGTTTGCTGTGTCTCCACTAGAGGGCGCACCGACAGGCTGCGTCAATAGCCTACATTACAAAAACAGAGGCCGGAAGTTAAACCTTTACAAATAAAAGCGTAATATCTCCCAAGGGAGCAAGTCGTGATTATGTAGTTACGTTAAATATAGGTCTGTTATTATGCAAAACTCGCTGAGATAGCTTCAGTGCAAATTAGCTGTATGAAAACAACGTTGTGGTGTAAAGTTGTGATTTTGCTAGTCTATGTTCCACCACCTGACCTGCATCACATTAAAAGCATCATGAAAACAGCAGCCTATGCAACAAGATCATAACTCTACTAACTTAACATTAACACAGCTACAACATTTATATCATTCATCAATCATATTTAACTCCCAACATTTGCTTAAACGGTTCGCTAATGGTTTAAGTTAAGTCGCTAGCAAATGATAAAGTTAGCATTTGAGGCATTTTGTTTTGGAAATCATTGACAGGGTGTGCTCTTATTTAACTGGTGGGCTTAACAGTGCTAAAACGAACCGAAGCCACTGGGAAGGACTTTACGGGATGGGAACAGACGAGAGTCCCCCAGTGTTTCCAGCTCCTGACAGTTTAATGTGGCGGAGCAGACACACGGAGGGATCTGCGGAGCTCATGTAGACCAGCAGCCAGACAAACCACCGGGACACAGCAGCACCGCAGGGGTCTGGAAAAATGCAGGCGGTGAAGTGAAAAACGACCGAAAAGCAGACTGTCGGGATGAACGGCACCAAAGTAAGTTAGTCGGAGCATATGCTAACGAGAAAAGTAATTAAAGAATGAGCGTTTTTTTCATTCTTTTACGTCTCCTCTTCTGTTACAAATCTTCGCCTCTTAGCAGCGTAACGTTAGTCTCGGACAGAGAAAAGCAGCACACCAGTGACTCTGTGGTCAGATCAGATTTCACGTTTGCCTCTGTGTTTAAGAAACCGCCCCTGGTGTCCCAAATCCCGACTCAAGTGACCAGACTCTTGTGTGCCGTTATCGCAAATTATTCAGGGAAAGGAAACAACAACTTTACGGAGTGTGAAAACTCTTGTGAATGATGTGCACAGATGTGGCGTGGAGTTGTGACTGACAGCTTAAGTGGGCGGGGTCGAGAGTTACTGTAGCTGTGGTATTAATACAGGGCACTTAGAGACAGATGCGTGGTGATTGCTTTATATCCGAAAAGGATTCGGTAGAGGTCTCTGCTCCCCGGTTTGCCACGTACAGCTGCAAGAAATTTGATCTGCAGAAGTGTCCATAACCTACAGTGAGTGCATATGCACCTCTTAACTCCAGGGCATGGCATTGTAGTTTACTTATATGCAGTTGGTCAGACCTTTATAATAGAGAAGGTGAAAAGGTAAGAAACTGTGGAAATTGGCACAACAGTTATAAAGCTAGAAGGAAGAGCTCTTCAAGGGTTATTTGGTTGCTGTAAAAGACATCTGCTGACTTGATAATAGAAACTGTCAATCAGTACTGAAAGTGCGGCATTCACAGTATTCTGTTAAAGTAAAACCAGCTGAATATAATTATGTGTTTAATGTGCTCAATATGCAGCAGAATATTCCTTCTTGGTGTTACATAAGCATTTTATATGGTTGGATTATTATTATTGATGGATTACTAACAAAGGTAAGCAGCATGTGTATGTTGTAGCTGGTGGAGGCGAAGCTACTCTTGAGTAATTTAATGTATAATAATGGGTTTCAGGCTTAATGTTGTGAGACAAATAGCCTATACTGGAGACAAAAGAACAATATATTCCCTCTGAAAGATAAAAGTAGCTCAGATTTGTGCTGAAGTACTGTTTTTGTGTAATACTTAGACACCACACAGTCTGGGAGCTTTCTTATGCTCCTCTGTTAAATTATTTTAAATTTACAGTGAAGTTAACCTATCATACCAGACTTACTCAGTAAGAAAGGTGGTAATTATATGCAGACCATTCATTTAGCTAAACCTCCGGTGAATCTTCCAACATTTTTCTGAAATATCACCTGTTTGTTAGACTTTGGTTCTTCTTACCATTGCTAACTCTGAGAGACGAGACAGTCCAAGTAACTTCAAAACAGTGCTGATTTATTCAAAGGATCACAGGTAAAATTAACATTACACGCTCAGGTATCTTGCACCTCCAAACTGCTCGCAGGCAGATGAAAGATGAAAGACCCTGAACCCAACAGGCCTGTACATTATATCCCTTCGGTTGGGCTAGCCCCATACTACACAGAAACGTCAACCGAGACGTCTCTGTTGCCAGCTTTGCAGCTGGTCATAGCAGTAGTGAAAACATGAAGCAAATCAATGTGTGTGTCTGTTGGTTAAGTGGTGTGTAACTAAAAACATTCTCACAACCTCTAGTAACATGTCGTGATATTAAACATAAGAACATATTATGGCTAAGGCTACAGTTATACACGTCATAATAATAATATTAAACATCCTGTCTGCTGACAGTCATCAACTCTTCTATCTAGTTATTCTTGACCAGATGTACCCTGTAGAAACTCATAAGTATGACTAAGCATTTAACAGTCTAACTAGACATCCTATCTCCACTAAACATTTCTAATACATAAAGTATCTATCCAGTTTCTATCTGACTAAAAATATCTAACATGTTCAAGCTTTGAACAAATTGTACTTGATGGATATTCTCTGTCTCTTTGCATGTAAATGTATTTATTCACCATAATTGTAGACCTGCTAATTGTTTTAAAACTCCTAAGTACCATCTATTTAATTTAAACTCCCTGCCTCCTCCTCAGTGCCATGCACTAATTTGGCTTAAAAGGATTAGCGTGGCATCTGCTTTCTAATTACACAGTTATCAGCCTTCAACTTGAAGATTGAATCTGGAGAGAGAGGTCTCGGTGACATCACTGAACAAACAGAGCAAATTTGATGTGACATATAAGCAAATAAATTAGGTAAATATTAGGTATGCTCACTCTTGCTTCTGTTTTAAATGTGCAATTTGTAACATTTTTGCATTTAGATAAAGGAAACCCAGCTGGGCAAAATCTTTTATTTGACTTGAGATAAGAATATTGCTTGTGTGCAAGAAAATGGTGCTTTTGACACATTACGTCATTTGCTTACAGTGATAACACACTCCTGTAATTTGATTATCACAGCATTCTGCAAATGTCAGCACATAGTTGTGAGGTGGTAAGTTAGAATATAGTAAAAAAAGAAAAAGTAATCACCACTGTATTCATTAGCTGGAGGTCCTTGGTGTAAATAATTAAATACCACTAATGGCTGGCAACTAATGGTCAGAAGGCAGCGGAGGTTGTTGTGGTGCTTGCCTGGGATAAAAAGGTGTGAAAAGAGCTCTGAAAGTGAGGGACTGTTGTGATTTCACAAGTCTATGCCAATTGCCCACTCAGGGGGCCCAGGAGATTCACACCTCTAAGGCTGGATTCACACAGACATTTGCCCTATGTTAAAACAACACCAGTGAGTGGCCGCTTGTGTTGTTTCTTGTTCAGTGAGACAATGAAAGTTAATCAGGGAAGTCTGGTTGGAGGAACTAATTTATGGCTTTATAAAGGCCTTTCAAATGCCAAAACACAGCACAGTGGTTTGACACTGATAACTCTGGCAGTTATCAGTGTCAAAGTTTTATCTTTGGTCATGATGAACTCAAGTTAAACTGCATATGTTTCATGTCACAAAGTAATTCACCAGGAATTTGTCTGTGTGGATACAGCCCAGTGCCGTTGCAGTTGGGTAATGAGTTAGAATGTGCCTGATTTGAAGCCAGTGCCAGAAGCAGTTTGCTGTAATCTGAGATTTACTGGGGAAAGGTTGAGAGAAACACCTGGTGCAGGAAATCCACAATCCTTGCTGAAGCAAGAGACAAGCAAAGGAATGGGAGGAGAGATGGGTGAACGTGGCTGCAACCCCTCAGACGTGATGAACTGCTGAAGATCAGTGCTGTAGATGTAAAAATAAACATATGACCACTGTTTTATTGGCAGTTTCCCATGTTTAGTCTGCATATGGGCCTGTAGTTTGCTTGAGTTGAAACAAAACTTGTAATTGGAGAGGACCAATGATATGATTGCTTGCTATTGAAACTGTAAGTATAAAGTTAATTTCCAAAATGCTGTCCATGCAATTTGGGCACAAGCAGCTGTATCTTTATTACACAGAGAATTCAGTCTTCAGTTCATTCACCAAGTTTTTCTCTGTCCTTTATGTGGTTCATTCCATTGGTGGACTATTTCACTATTTCCCTTCTAAGGAGCTCAACTAGAAAAAAAAAACTTGTTAAATTTTAATCAGTGAGTGAAGGATTTGTGTATTCAGCTTAGTGTGATAGTCATAAAACTGCAGTGAAGGGACTCTGGCCTTCAGGACCTTTCTGGTGCAAAGAGAAGGTTTCACCCTCTGCATGTTTGTGTAACGTGTCCTTGGGTTTAGTTGAAAGGTGACTTAAATCAAATGTATAACTGTCATTAATAGTAAAGAAATCGAATAGTTAGAAAACAACACTAATAACATATTCATAGTGTTGTACCCGGTACGTTTTACCATACTGACTCTGAGAGACGAGACAGTCCAAGTAACTACAAAACAGTGCTGATTTATTCCATGAACACAGGTAAAAATTAACATTACACACTCAGGTATCTTGCACCTCCAAACTGCAGCAGGCAGATGTAAGATGAAAGACCCTGAACCCACCAGGCCTATACATTATATCCCCTCGGTTGGGCTAGCCCCATACTACACAGAAACGTCAACCGAGACGTCTCTGGTGCCAGCTTTGCAGCTGGTCATAGCAGTAGTCAAAACATGAAGCAAATCAATGTGTGTGTCTGTTGGTTAAGTGGTGTGTAGCTAAAAACATTCTCACGACCTCTAGTAACATGTCGTGACTGAACATAAGAACATATTATGGCTAAGGCTACAGTTATACACGTCATAATAATAATATTAAACATCCTGTCTGCTGACAGTCATCAACTCTTCTCTCTAGTTATCCTTGACTAGATACACCCTGTAGAAACTCATAAGCATGACTAAGCATTTAACAGTCTAACTAGCCATCCTATCTCCACTAAACATTTCTAATACATAAAGTATCTATCTGACTAAAAATACCTAACAATAGACATTAAAAATACAGCATTCTGTGTATCTACCACAGATTCAGTGGACAGAGTGAAATGGGATCATTCACTCCATTACATGTACATTCCTGCACTATCAGCATGAGAAGCAGCCAGAACTAAAAAGAAGTTCAGGGGTCAAAACAAGAACACTGCACAGAGGTGAACAGCTAAGTCCAAGTACAGCACACTTTGAGCCGTGATAATCAGCCTGCATACTATGCAGCTATAAGCTCATCCACTTACATAATTCAGGGTGAAAAACTTTACCCCAGTTCGTCACTGAGTGTGACTGCATAACTATAAAGACAGATGGAATGTAAAACAGGCAGATCATACAGCACTAGTTTTTAACCACTTTTTGCCAGAACATTTACGCAAATGCAATTTCTTACCCTCCACTTCCTTTAAATGTTGAGCATTTTGGGTGAATTGTGTTGTCACTCAGGAGCAAATACCTTTAAGAATATGAGAAAAACAAGCACGAGTGCTACAATTCTTTATAAGATTGTGTCTTGACTGCAAGTTTGACTTCAGCTTTAAATGCATTTATAAGGGTGTAATATAATTTCTCACACAGCGTTAATGCTGTAAAACTGTTGTAGATTTAACATGTGCGTGCGACTTCACCATGACTGTTCATTTCTACCACTTGCGCAACCCTGTACCTTTGTGTAGCTTACATAGCATGTTTGTTTGTGTGTGCTTGTACGTGTCACTTAAGTTGAAACGGATGAGAGCTATTCAGCTGTTAGTCAGTCGTCGACTGCATGGAGAGGTGCCTGGCAACACACGAGCGATGGTATGAGAGGTTTTTTTGTTTAATATCTCTGGTGTGGATTTTACAGTATATGTATATTGTTTTTACAGTATATACTACATTATATATTGATTGATTTTTTGATTTGATTGATTTATTTATTCTTTCAAACATGCAGAACAGAACAAATGAACAAATGACATTTTGTGAATATGCAAGCCTTTTTTCATATGATAGTATAATCTCACAATGAAAAACGGTTTCTGATTTTTTTTTTTTTTGCATGAATGCACTGAGGATAAGGCAATGAGCTCAAAAGTGTGCACATCGATTTTTTTATTCATTTGTTTTTATTAAGTTTAAGATTGTCAGGTCCGCTCGGCGCGACCTGCCTCTCTTGCACTACTCAACTTACCGAACGTGCATACCCCGTAACTGACCGATAGTCGTGGTATGTGTTGCACGTCGTTTGACTTCCACACTGACAGTTCCTGTGCTGTGGATCTCTCTTTATGTTTTTTCCGTGAGGTTAGCTAGACGTTATTTTTTGTTATCCACACTGACAGTTCCTGTGCTGTGGATCTCTCTTTATGTTTTTTCCGTGAGGTTAGCTAGACGTTATTTTTTGTTATCCACACTGACAGTTCCTGTGCTGTGGATCTCTCTTTATGTTTTTTCCGTGAGGTTAGCTAGACGTTATTTTTTGTTATCCACACTGACAGTTCCTGTGCTGTGGATTTCCGTTTTCGTTCGCCTATCCTCCTGGTTAGCTTGTCTGTTCCCCTGTCCATCCTGATCCTGCTCCTCTCCTGGTTCCAACCGTTAGTCTGCTCTATTCACCCGTTCGCCCTGGTCACCTCCACCGTCTCTGCTTTACTTTGCTTATATATGTTCATGGCCCTTGTTATGTTGTTACTTTGTGTTTTTGTTCCATTAAACCACCTTTTCTTAACTAGCACCTGGGTCAGAACACTTGAGTCCTACAGTAGTTCTCCCTCACCCTCCTGGTGAGGGGGACTAACCATAACAAAGATGGAGCAGAGAAATTTTTAGGGCCCCAATTTATTACACACTCTACATTATTACAACTATGCATACTTCTTGTAGTGAGTAAACTAAAAATGGGCAAATGAACTCTTTGATTTGAATTATGTAACGTCTGTTGGGAAGCCGAGAGGTAGAAACAAGGGCTACTTAAGTAAAATAAACTTAAAATCTTCACAATGCTTAACAAATATCATGAAGATAGCATTTGAACAAAGGTATCCATAACCAAGGTAATTATTTCCTGAAGCTCATTTGAATATTATGTGGTTCTCATACATTTGTTTTTATTTCAGTGGGTGTGCCAAATGTAAATATTTGTTTTCTTTCCAGATAATAATGGCACTCCTCCTGTGTCTGTTGATGTTGGCAAGTGCTCAGCCCAGCGCTGTGAAGAACTGTCACCCTGGGTGCCGCTGTGAGGTGGAAAGCTTTGGCCTGTTCGACAGCTTTAGCCTGACCAGCGTGGACTGTCAAGGGCTGGGACCCACCATCACTATGCCCATCCCTATCCCACTGGACACTTCCCACCTGGACCTGTCCTCCAACAGCATGGGCCCGCTCAGTGACATCATGCTAGCTGGTCCAGGCTACACCACCCTTGTTAGCTTGGACCTCAGCAGCAATCATATAACAAAGGTCAGTGGTTGGAGGAACTCGTATCAACAGTTTGATGTAACCTGATGCTGATCAAATGTTGATTTTATAATCAATAATCATAGTTAATCTTATTTTCAGGTAAGCCCCAATGCCTTTTCCAAGCTGCGTTACCTGGAGACTCTGGACCTGAGCCACAACAACCTGGAAAGGCTTTCCCCAAGCTGCTTCTCTGGTCTTCCTCTTGCTGATGTTGACCTCAGCTACAACAGCTTCCAGGAATTTGACATGGGCATATTTGCTACTAAAATTAATGGTGAACCTGTCCGCGTGGATCTCTCACATAACAAGCTCATGTCTGTTTCCACAAGTTTTCATGGAAGAGTATCACACATTCAAACCCTAACTCTGTCAGCAAACCAACTGTCAAGTGTTCCAAGACTGGCAGGACATCCACTGAGGTACCTCAGTCTGGATGGTAACCCCATCACGCAGATCAAGGTCGGAGACTTTGCTCAGCTAAAGGGTCTGGTTTATCTGTCCATCAGTGGCCTCCAGGAGCTTCGGGAAGTTGAGCCTTACAGCTTTAAGAGCCTCCAGAGCCTCCAGGTTCTGGATCTATCAAACAACCCCAAGCTGGAGACTCTGAGCCCTGCTGTTTTTAGTGGACTGGACTCCCTGCAGGAGCTGAATTTGTCCAGCTCTGGTGTGGTGTCCTTGCCAAATAACATGCTAACCCACCTGCCCAGTATTAAGAGTATTACATTGGGAAGAAACATCAACTGCTGGAGGACCCAGAAACAGGGGCAGTTTCACCGGCAGCTGGGGCAGGCCCAAAGCAATGATGTGCTCAACTGTAATATGGAGGGCATCATGCTGTGAGACTGTGTCTGATGCCAGAGTTGTGCCTTATTTGCCTTGATATGCAAAACACCTTTTTGTATTACTCTCACTCAGTTACCTCAAGGTAAAACCTTGGAATATGTCTTAAAGACTTCATGAAGTCTTGACACAAATGCTGTTAATTTTAGAAAAACAATGACAAAATGTACAGCATTTTACATAGAGCAATTTCTTTTACATCTTAATATACATCATCATCAAAACTGATAGATAACCTTTCATGAATTCAAAACCTTAAGTAATTTCTGTACATTCATATAAAGTGGGACCATATTAAAAGCTATTTGCACTCATTCCACATTTGACCATAATATCCACACTGAGGAATATACAGAATATGAAGGTACACACGCCGTGTTGAATGTTGGGGATCGGGGGCACCATTTTGGGAGGAGGCGCTGTATTTACCTGTATACATTCTTGTTTTATTTGGCAAAAAGGTTGCTTTAATCGTTTAGATCTCACTATGTTCAGCTCAGTTCAGGAGCTAACGTTAGCTAGCAGCTGCTGGCAGATAACACAAAGACTGCAGATGAATAAATTCCTATCCTCCTCTGTGCTCAGACTGAATACTAAAGTGGATGTTTGGATGAGGCTGAAGCATCCGCTACTGTGTGTAGCTGTATGGGATAGTATTTATTATTTAAATTAGCTTACAGATGTACTGTATGTAGTGTACATATACATATATCTATGAAGGATAATGAGCACGATGCTCCCAAAATGGCACACAAATTCAACATGGCATGATTGCAACTTCACATTCTCTATTTTATGGCTAATGACCACAAAATATTTTTAATTTGACTTTGAACGTGATCTTATTATTGAGGAATATTACAGGAATAGTTCAACATATTGGGCTTTCTAGAAGAGAGTTAAGTGAAAAGATTGATTACACTCTCATATCTGTTTGTTCAATGTGAAATTAGCACCAGTAGCTGGTTAGCTTAGCACAGCGGTTTTTCTAGGAATATAAGAACTGAGAACCTGTCTGTATAAACCATGTTTACACTGAGCTAAGCTAGCTGGATGCTGGTCGTAGCTTAATATTAGCCATACATGCATGAGAGCAGTATCATCTTTTGTAAGAAAGCTAATATGCATATTTTGAAAACTGTCAAGATGTTCAATCCAAGGACCAGAATTATTTTATTTCCCTGAGTGGGAAATTTACAGTAAAGACTAAAAAAATGTAGTTGAGAGCGAACATGTTTTCTGTTACACCACACACAAAATGACCATTTCAATACTTGAATTTTTTTGTCTATGAACACCAGCCCAAATCTGACATACCGTCCACTGTGTTTGGACAATTTATCATCATAATCACTAAGTTTGATTTACAGCCTTTGAAATTGGGTTACATGCAGCCTTTGACACGATGCTCACTGATCTGTGTTAAGTTTGATTACACAACAAGCTAAGCAGGAGTAAACAAGCTACTGTATGTTGTCTCAAGCTGAAGACGACATATGATCAGTGAAGTATGGTGAGTCCAAGAATTGTTGATGTTTAAGCAACTACCGACACTGTACCTTAGCGTTCCTGTGGTTTTTCTACTAAGACAATCAGCCTCCAGACTGCATATTAGGTTTTGGGAATATTAGCAGTCTATAACAGTTTGGGGATCTTTAGTGCTTTGGTTTAGAATTTTTTATAAGAAATCCACTGTTTCAGTTGGTTGAATTGAAAGTCAAATGAACCCACTCTTGTGCGTAGAGATTTATATTTGTATACTGTTTGTAACTATGTTGTAGATACATTTATATATCTATGACTCATATGTGTAATAAATTGACTGTTTGAACACCTTTGGTGTCAATTAATGCTGTTATTAAGGTTCTTTGTAACTTAAAATAGCAACAGTTAAGTTGTATCAGCGAATGAGCATAATCACAAACAGCCACATACAGGGAAAAGCAAAAGTGTCACAAATTTTTTTTCTGGAAATCCTCGTTTTCACAGCAGTCTGTGAATTGTTTCAGTGTACTGACTCATCAGGGTGTGTCTCTACAGGACAAGAGGAAAGTCTAGGTTTACCCTCACAACACTTTCTTCACTTTTTACAGCTCATGAAACATGCTGTGTATAAAGCTTTGTCTTTAAGCATAATAAAATGGTCAGGCACGCCAGTGTTTGGCAGGTTACTGTGCTACACTAGACTGGTAACCAGTAACTGGTGACTGGGAAGGAGACACGTAGAGAAAGGAGAGAAAAGCAGAAAGAGCCAGATTTCAGTCACGGAAGCTTACTGATCACTTGTGTGTGTCTTTTTGTTCCTTCAACCTTCAGGACATACAAATACAATGAAGACAGTCCGACTAAACCAGGGCTTTTCACAGATTGCATCAGAGTGGGATTATATGTGTTACTCCCTGAAAACTGAATTTGAGAATATATTGGGTAGGTCTTTAGACAACACAGTAGTTCCTCTAGTTGTCTTGTGTTTGAGTCTGTTTACGTCTGTTTATATGTGAATATGACTTTATTTTCTTGGTGGGTGGGAGGCTGCTGGAACCCCCAGTGGGTTGACCCTAATGCAGAAAACACTTCCAGATGTTTGTGTGTGTGTGTGTGTGTGTGTGTGTGTTTTCCTCCTGAAGCACTGGCATGTTGAGACCTAAGGAAGCCAGCATTCACCAGAATGAATGAAACAGTCTTTTGGTTGCTTTGGTCCCACTGTTGTAGCTCAGCGCTACATGTACGTATGTACATAATAACCAGCTTAAATTTTGATTGTTTGAAGTGAAATATATAAATAAAATTTCCTCCAGAATCATGAAATGTCAGTGAAAATCAGAGCAAAAACATCACCAGAAAGCTATGCTGAACGAAGGTCATATCACATGTCTCTTTATATTTCAGTTTGATCCTAACAGTGTTCCTCTGTCTAGTCTGGGACATGCACAGATGCACAAATGTGTTGACATCTTTATGATACATTTAGACCAGTACATGTGCACAGATTTTGTGCAAACACAATTTGCAAGGGCACTTGATGTTTTATAGGTTTACAGTTTACCCTGATGAATTCACAAAGGAATATAATGACATTTATTTGAAATATGGTGCCAAACGGCTGCCTTTACAGAGACAGAACATTCTGTGAAAGTACAGAAACAGACATTCAAATACGCCTGCAGAACACTTACGATGTGGAAACTTCATGTTTTTATTTTTTATGATAACTTTTTTTGATTTGAAGCATCATTTCAAAAATACAGTTATTTCTCCAAATAACTGCCAGTTATAAGAAAAGAAGGCAGTAATCAGGAGAACAAGAGACCTTTTCAGGTTGCTCAGGTTGCTTGTGGATAAAACTGGGTCAACAGAAATGCTGAGCGAGTGAGCGAGCCATGTTTTCCAGTTTTTTCAGCTGAACTGATATCTGGGGAAAAAGTTTTTGAAATGGAAAGAGGATCTTAAACAACATAATTTACATTTATTATTAAAACAGTTTGCGTGCACTGTTTGAGTGGGACCTGAGTAAAGAAAACAAAAGGTAATTCCTCCTTTGCAGTAGTCTGGCTCTAAGATGTAATTACTTCAAAGCATAGAGAAGCTTTGAGAAGAATATAATTATTTCAGGCAAACAGAACCAGGGTGTCTTTATTAAGTACACTGTTCTCGCTTGAACACTCACCAAACAAATGTAATTTGACCTTCTCAGATAGCTCCTCCCAAGGATCAAACTATCCAAGCAGCTAATTCACTTTGACTGCACAATGAGCCCATACTGCTCTGAACACTTCAAGGTTTTACTATTTATTCTGAAAGAGGCAGTGGAATTGAAGAGTGAAATCTTAGACGCAGCTTTCTAAATCTTTTGTATAGTAATTAAGAGTTAATGAACCTGAAAATAAGTTTTTTTGACCATAATGATGAACAATGATTAATGCTCTGAATGACCTGTGGCTTGTTGTGCCACCGTGACAACAGACACCATGGCACTGTGTCAGCGTCTACTGTAGCTCAGCACAGAGGTTTTGTTTTTCCGACAAACAAAAGATCAGCTTGACTTGCCACAGGCCACAAAGGTTTGGTTGTTTTTCTAAGAGCCAATAAAACTGTTGACGCCTGTACCACTACATGGATATTATTGCGCCCTGCAAATAAGTAGACATTTACATTTTAAATAGTAGAAATGCAGTAGATTAATTTAGCATGTTTTTGCAAAACAAACAGTTTTATTCCTTATATATCAGCTCAGCTGTGAGTGGTCCAGTGTGACAGTAGACTGACTCCTAATCAGAATCAGAATCAGAATCAGAATCGTCTTTAATGGCCAAGTATGTTTGAACATACAAGTAATTTGACTCTGGTGCGGATCCTCTCAGTGTGTTTGGCAACAGGAAATATAAAATAATAATAAATAAATATACAGATAGATAGATAGAGTGCACCCCCCTCCCAGTTGCAATGTATATACTGTATATAGCTTTAATGTCAATATCCCTATTTATCTCGTCACTTTATTGCATTATTTATATGCATGACTTTGCTTGACTGTGTCTTTCCAGAGAAGCACAGTATGTGCTCAGATTGGATTAATACTATTCAGGGAAAAGGAAGAATAACACCACGCAGACATGACCAAAGAGCCAACAGTACACAGAAATGAAAACATTAAGTTGGCGTCTATCTGCGCTGAGGATGCTGCACTCAGTCAACCTACACTGTGACATGCATGTCGTGAAATGTTTGTTTTCAGCAAATATTAAATATAAGAGAAACTTTAACTGTTCTACCTCTTAAATGTGCAATACATTGTTTTTTTACATACACAAATATTAGTTGTCTTTCACAAAATGGGGAAAATTAAAGCCAGCTCTTTCTTGGCATCCCATCTTGCTTACGCACACTCAGAATAATCAGCTCAGTGTAGGAGCATCAGGAGTCTTGCATCACCCTCCTCCCGCTGATGGTCTGTGGAGGGAGTTTCCTAGAGAGAGAGAGAGAGAGAGAAAAGATAGTTATGTCCTGAGACTACTGTCCTTGATCTGGTTTGGGCTGGATTATGTTACGATTTCCCTCAAAGGACCCTTTGTTTGACTTCATTTGTCATTTTTCCTTGACTTCCTTTAACTGTTTCTTTCCATGCTCTACATTCCTATTAACTTCAAAGAGCTACTGTGCTTAAATAAAAGAAAATATAAAAGCAATGTCTATAATCTAAATGAAATCCAAGTTAAAACAAATAAATACAATTAGAAAAGCAACTAAATATAACACCACAAATGAATGTTACTTTCAGCTTTTTCCCATTAGGGGTCACCACGTGCAAATTGTCAATGTCATGATGACATTTCGCACATGTTTTACACCAGATGCCCTTCCTGACGCAACCCTGACTCGAGCCTGGGCGAGATAACCCCACAAATAATAATAATAAATAAGAGGCGCATGAGACATTTTGTTTTAGCTTTGACTTTCAGCTTTTTCTTTTATTCCAGTCTCAGAGCACTTGTGACCAAAGCACAGTCTTGTCACAGAATAAAAATGACAATGTTTAAAATTGTTTCTCAATTGCACTGCTCTCCAAAAGTCAAAAGTCAAGCCAATAAATATGCTCAGTTTCTGCAACTCACCAGGGACAAGTGCATGTCAGTCATAAACATTTAAAAACAAGAAAATGTCTTGCTCAGTTTCCTTGAAGAGGAAAGATGCATCCATGAACAGAAGAAAAAATTGTGTTTCTTCTTCTCTTATATTTTCCCTTCTTTGCACAACGGCATTGGATCTGTGTTTTCTCAGGCCACAAACATGTATCTAAACATCACAGACATCAAGGTAAAGCTGCAGGGATCATTTTAAACCACACAGGCAGACGCCAGCACAGACCTGAAGTCAGCTGTAACAGCACCAGTGGTTACTGAGCCTCCCCCAGCCTCCGCCAAACACAATGAGCTCTGTTGTTCAAATGTCTTCTTTGTCACACTGTTTTCCTCTTTTTAAACCAGCCTCTGCAAAATTATAACCACACTGCCAAGAGACAAAATGCCAAAAAAAAGAGTTATATTATTTCTAACATATGTAAATAAACATGACAATCTTGATTTAATTTAAAAAGTCTAATAAAAATGACATATTACATTCAGATAAGTCATCTGTGTTTCTGTAAACTGGAGCTTAGACTTGAAAGGATGCAGGATGTGTGAAACAATGACACAGCCTACACCACACCATAGCTAGGAAATGAGCAATTTTGGTAAGTGCCTCACTGCAGTGTAATTACATCCATATGATTGCTGCTTGGCTCAAGCCCTTTCCCAAACTTCAGGCTCACACTATACATATTCTTAAGTTTCATTAAACAGCTACCAATTTTTTTTAAACTTTTTTGCTTGGATAATTGGCTATACAGTATGTTGCTATGCAGGAGGATGAAGATACCATGTGTAATGGCCCTTTATTAATATGATTACTGCTTGATCTGTGGTGTGGTCAGATTTAATGTGGCCAGAGCCAAAGATTTTCCCCAACATTTGTTGTGCTAATAAAGCAAACTGAAAACTCAGGAATGGAGCCAGACACTTTAGAGCAGTCAAATATTTCCATAATGTAGCATATCACCTGTGTATTACAGTCACTTCGGGATTCTGATTAGAACAGCAATATTTTTGCACAAGACCTAAATGTGTCCTAACAGTTGACAGGAGCGCCCCCTTGTGAGAAAACTAGGTAAGTACATGACACAAAAGGTGCAGTAAAAACTCCTGAGAAAACACTTTTTAATATTTAGTTAGACAGTACAAAACGTTGTTGAACAGCACTTCATGCTTTTATTCAAGTGCAAATCACAAGCAAAACTGGTTAAATACAGTACGAGAGGCTGCGTAAGTGCAATAGTACCAGTGTGGTGATCTGTACATTCACTTACTTACTGAATTATCTATATATCCATTTCTCTATGACCTTTATTAAATTATTTTTGCAAAGATATGAACAAACCTTCCAAAAATACATGTAATAGAGGAGATTGTTGAATATTGATGCAGTGAATAGATAATAATACCTCAAAATCTCAGCCTGGTTCAATATTACACTGGTATATTACAGTATTACGTACTTTAAAAACCAGGCAGCAACTCTCTGAAAACTTGGTAGTTTGCATGATGGCTCCAAGAAACACTGCAAATGTTTGAAAGAGAATTTTGAATACTTTCCCAAACCTCCCAGTCCCTCTCCATTGTCTGAATTGCAAGAGACCAGCTGTAACATTATTTGGTACACAGACTTAATACACAAATAAATAACAGGTGACAAAATACTGTATAATGAGTTCAAATATGTGAGTAACAGTCTTTAAACAACTAAGCTCTTTGTTGAAATACTAATACATATTGTAATAAGGAGCTCAATACTGAGCTCACAGATGAGCCAAGCCAGCTGTTACTGGCAAGAAACTTAACTGGCTAAGGATCTTGCTGTCCATAGTAAAACATTTAGTACATATATTTTTAAAATAAATAATCTAAGGAAACATATTTAAGAGGAATTTTCCAGCGTTCTGTGTCTGACTAATTATTTGACCTACATGTGTCCTGCACAAGTAAAAATAAACTTTTTTCCATCACAGCTGATTTTTTGCACTGCAGCTTCCTATGGCTTATCTTAACATGTATATATGTTTGTGGATATTTTTTTCTTTATTGTCAAAATGTGTTGTGTGCCATGTAGCTAGTTATAGTTATACACATTTCCAAGCTACGGCTGACAGTTGCACACCAGCTCATCAGCAGTTGAGAATGGAGTTGGTCCTCAGGATGCGAATGACCTTCCTTGAAGTGTAGCTGTACTCATACTGCATGTTTTCATGGAAGAAATACAAGTATCCTGAAAGAGCAGATGGGATAGTTGTTATAAAATTCATTACAGAAGAAGTGCTGAGAAAAAAAAAAACCCTCATTCATTAAAATTTGTTTTTCCAGGCTCGACAGTACCATAGTGATAAGTAGCTGCGTCGACCTCATCATTCATTCCAGGAAAATCGCTCTCAATGGATCGTGGGTAGCCGCTATCCATGGTGCCTGTCATTTCATCATAGCTGTGGGTGACAAATAAAAGCAAATGATTAATGAAATACAAAATTACATTTCACATGACTCAGGTTTTGAGGTTCATGAAGAATATTGTACTGTGAAGATTTAAAGACTTTTAGTTTTCAAACTAACGTAGATATGTAAAATACATCTCCACATACTGTACCTCCAGTAATCCTCATCGATGAAGAGTAGGGTTTTGCTTGTGTCGCTGATGTAAACAGCTGCATCTATTTTCTTTATGGTCTTGGGAAGTCCAAGTTTGTGTATGTACTTGGGGTAACCATCCACAAGGTCATACCCATTCAAAGCCCACATTCGGATTCCTGACAAGAGAACACACTTTTGGTCTTACTGTATCTACTGTAATATCTATATCTACAAAATGATATATATAAAACCCACCACTGAATATAATGACTATATCCTTCTCTGGGTTCTCGTATGCTGCATCTACTTTGCTAGGGATGGAGGGCCATGTGGACTTGATCAATGTCTGCTCAGGCTCAGGCATCTGAGGATGGAGGCGCCAGTAGAAACTGCAACAAGCATGTTCACAAAATATAGCATGATACACTGGTCTACAGTTCAAATGTCAATAATGATATATAATGAATTTATAGAGTGTGTTGGGTGGCACTAGGACAGAGAGAACTAGCTCCAGTCTGTGCAAATCCACAGTGTCAAGTCAGCGTGTAGTCAGATAGACATTTAAAGCTTATTTATTAGCATAGTTGTATGAATCATGGGTTTTACTGAACCTGTCTTTGAAGATAATCGTCTCCCCTCTGAGCTCTGTAACTGCATCAAAACTCAACATGGGGTCGCATTTGTTTGGTGCAACAGGCTTTGGCTTTACTTTCTTGTGGTTTGGGTTTGGGCCTGTAATTGGACATGCAGCATTAATGCATGTTTCATAATAATATTTGCATAAAAAATAAGAAAAATCTTACGTTAAAAAGCACTGAATCAATCATCGAAACGTGATGCGTCAATTTCAGTTTTTTAGTTTATAACAAATTTTATATACAAACACAAATCATGTATCTTCCCACCATAGAGAGCCTGAATGCCTTCAATATCATCCTCAGACAGCGGGAATCCTGTAGTGTATGAGTAGACTGGGTACATCAGGGCTCCGGCGTCTGAGGAGTGGGACATACCAAGAGCATGGCCCAGCTCATGGGCAGCCACTATAAACAGGTTGTAAGCTGCAGAGAAAAGATGCTGAGTCAGAATACTGACTTCCTGTATATACTGACCTATGTTGAACTTTAGTGCATGAATCAAATCAAATCAAAATTTATTTATATAGCACTTTAAAAACAACTTGTTGACCAAAGTACTTCACATAAGCCAGAATAAAATAAAATAAAAAGCAAAAGACACAAACCATAAAACATTCTAAGAGGAGACGTGTCAGCTCCACTATGATCCAAAAGTCATGAAAACTAAATAAGTCTTAAGGTGTAACTTAAAGACAGGCAGAGCCGTTGCAGATCTAACATTAATAGGTAAACAGTTCCACAGTTCTGAGGCAAGTCATGAAAACTAAATAAGTCTTAAGGGGTAACTTAAAGACAGGCAGAACCGTTGCAGATCTAACATTAATAGATAAACTGTTCCACAGTTCTGAGGCCATTACAGCAAAAGCGTGATCACCCTTAGCACATCTAAGGACCCAAGGGATCTAACTGGCTTGTGCCACTGCAGGAGTTCATTGGGATAAGAAGGACCAGCCCATTAAGTGCCTTAGAAACAAATAATGCATAACTCTTACTTGAGGAATCTTTAGTCCAGTGTTCATCCTCATCAAAGTGAGTGTCTCCTCCGATGCCTTGGCCAGGTGGGTAGGCATGAGCCAGCAGTCCATTGGGCCCATCAAATGGGTTGTAGTCTCCATGCTCTGCACAATAAAGGAAAGACAAATTATATAAGCAGTGTTATAAAGTCGATTTTTCATAGTCAAACATTATGTATTGTGTATATTTTCAGCGCATATATACAGTATATCAGAATCTTAGAGCTTTATTCCACCTTTTGATCCGAAGCTGATCATAATGTCAGCATTGTCCTTGTACAGCTTCTTGAATTTCAGAGGGGTGACATCGGACCAAACGTTCAGCGCATTACGTATGGCTCTGTCTACATCAGACTTTTTCAAATCTGGTGTGTAATTCAATATCCTGAAACAAAATTGGTGAATAAATTACGCTGGTGTTCACTTTCTGAATAGTTCATCTTTTACAGTATATTCCCTGTAATCATTTGAATGCATACCTGAATGTGATCTGGTTATTTTGCCATTTGAGGTGCTGAGGGAAGTGATTGTATTCCCCAATATCAGGAACACCACATCTTGCCTGCTTCATCAGCTCCAGAGTGTTGTCATCCAGATTCCCAGTCACCTTTAGAGGCAGATGGAGTGGAATGGAAATATATTACATTCTCTAGGTGGATCTGTTTGTTCTGCACTGAGTTTCTAACAGCAATTAGGAACTGAACCACATGCAACTGAATTCAACCCAATTATCTGGCCCTCCATTTACACACAGTGAAGGTCATCAACACCAATAAAACCATCAATGCAGATCAAAATAAGCTACTGGGGAAAGATCTCCCCTAAAGCAAAGGTATTGGACAGTTTGATATTTTCCGCATGCAATCACCTTGAGCTTGAAGAATTTCTGCATCTCCTTGAGTTTGGTCTGAAAGGCACCTGATGACCTCTGTCTACCCTGGAGACCAGCTGGAAGGTCATAGAAGCGATGGAGGTATTTCTGTTTGAAAGAGAAAACTGAGCAAAATGAGAACACAGTGGCATGAAAACTATTCTGAATAGCTTCATTCTCTTTGGGTAGTCTGAAACATATAGTTTTCATTAATTGTCACAAAAATCCACTTGAAGGCAGCTTGTAAGATTTATTTGACACTCACCTCTGCTAAGTCCCAGTTGTCTTTGTCTGCAGACAGCAGCGGCAGAGCTAAGGAGTGAGAAGCCAACATCAGCAGCAGCAAAATGATCATTGTCGCTGTCTCGGTATTGTCCAAACCAGTCACTGGGTTCAAGAAGCTAAAGGAGAATATTTATAGTGTTTTTCAAATGGTCCTGGTGATTCATGTAAAAGCACCTAGCCACTTCCTCATTTGTCAGTCAAGAATGTGCTTATATGTACAACTACAGTGCTTGTGGTTTCTGTGCACTTCTTTGAACCCAGCAAAATGCTTTGATCAGACGTTCCCCATTTCCCACATTCATATGACTTCAGGTTTTTCCCATTAAATCCAATTAAAATCCTATAAGGATTATGCCCCCCACCCTTTTTTTCTTCAAAAGACAAACTGTAACAGTGCTGTCCTTTCTTTTATTCACAGATTTAGAAGAGTTGAACCATTTTTGGCAGAAAATACTTTTCTTGAACAAGGATGTCACATCATTAGTTATTATCTCTCCATTTGCTGTAGTTTAAACATAAATGCTCACTACAAAAAATGGAAACTTGTGGGAGTTATTTCATGCTGCTGCTGGTCTCATAATAGTCACTCTGTGTCTTGTTATTTTAGGTGTAGACGCTTTAGGATATGTGACTAATGAAAGAACCGATGAAAAATGTGAATTCAAAATCTACAGCATGTGATTCACATGTTATGATATTACATTTAATATGACTGTATTCAGCATTATATGAACACTCATGCTAACAGCTAATATGTTAGTTCAATGTGAACAAATGTCCTGCACTGGTAATAGTGTAATTTAAATCAGCTCTTCCTGATGTTTTACTATCTGCTGTGGTTGTGGGATCCAGAGTTACCAGGATTACACAATATAAATGACAAATTGAAAAATGATCCCAGTGTTGTCTGTTATGTTGAAGAGGAGGTTTTCTCACAGCATAGAAACAGACCCCACTCACCTACAACAAAACCAATGACACATTAACTTGTGGGTTAGTCACTTATTACAACAGAGACGCCATATAGAGAACTAGACAGAGCACAAAATACAAGATGAGAGTGATTTGATCATAAATATACTATTAAGGTGTTAATGTTTTTAGAAGAATTGTTCCAGGGATGTCAGTCTGTTGGCTCCTCCAACACTTTGGTCCAAAGTATCTCTGAAACTACTGGATTGCCTGATATTCATGGTGCCTACAGGATGAACCCTGCTAACTTTGCTGACCCCATGAATTTTCTTCTACTGCCACCAGCAGGCTGACATTTTTTAGCTTTTTAAAATGTCTCTTGGTAAATCTAGTCAAAAGTCAAAAGTGCTGCACATCAGTCAATAAAAATGACAAATTCAAAACAAGTGTCTAGCCAGGTTTAAAAGCCAAAGGATAAAAATAGCTTTTTTGGGGAAGTCTTAAACATTTCCAACACTGGTGCTGCTCGGATGTGTAATAGGAAGCTGCTCCATCTTTGGACCTATTACAGCAAAGGCATAATCTCCTCTAAGTCTGGACCCCAGAATAACCAGAAGCATTTGGTCAGAGGACCTGAGAGCCCTGCAAGGAGTGTGGAAATGTCAATGTTCAGAGAGGTACAATGAAGTAATAACTTTGAGGATCCCTTAGCATTTTATCTTTTTCCATCATCAGATCAAATTTTACATTTGCCCAATACTTTGGTTTATAACCAAATACTTGCAAAACATATTGTATTCCCACTGTGTTCAAACTGTACTGGTTGTGTGTGTGTGTGTGTGTGTGTGTGTGGTAATTAGCATAATGTTAGCCTGCATGGCTGTAGCTTTGTTACAGTGAGGAGGCTTATAGGCAGGACTGAAGGAGATGAAGATTGAACGTTAGCACCTGGACTTATAGATAAATGACAATCTCACACAGAAACTGAGATAAATATTCTATGTACTTACAACAATGAGAGTAGAAAAATACACTGAAAGAAAAACATGACTGGTTAGGTTCCTGTAAATCCCTGGAGACAAGGCAGGTAAAGACATGCTGCCTATTACTGTTTCTACAACATCAGCGTCTGAGTGAGACAACAAAGGTGTGTAAGTATTAACTCCTGCCACAACAAAGGAATTCCTTAATTTCTACATAGCAAAAAATGTCTGATCAGACTAATACACTTTGATATAGGAAAAATCAGATTGCTGACACAATGGCATTGTTGACTATCAATTCACATTTGGATACAAAGCACTCTTTTTTAAAGTTAAACATTCAAAGAATTATGTTCAGCTTAAACTGCTGCACTGACAGCACTGTCAGATATTTGACAAAATAATGTGTGTTGAGTCATTTTCAACATACTTTTTGCATGTCTTGTAATGATAATGTTTTGCAACTGTACATCTCATACTGCTGATCAAATCTCATACACTGCATTAAGAAGTTCAGATTATAAACAGTTGCTCTCACTTGTCATTAAAAGAGATCACTTTCTCATAAGAAATTAAATTATGCTAGCATTCGTATACAGTATGTTGTGTCCTGAGTTATAAGAGTGCTATACAAACTTCACTAAAAAACTCTGGTTAATCTGCATCCTATCAGTGATATCATGTGTAACGTACAACACACATGTGTGCTAACACCCCAGCATCTCGTGGAGGGCATGGTGGCTAACAGAGTGCTTCTGACTCATAACAGAGGAAGTTGGCAGTTGGGGGATTTTTGCTGTTATTTTAAAAATGGTCTCTAACACACAAACACAAACACATAAATATGGAAACATAGGGTAATGCTGTGACCTATTTGTTGTATTCAAAGTTCTGAAAAAACAAATCCCGTTGTAGGACCTTACATGGGCAGGTCTGAACCACATATGACATGCTGGTACAATGAATTGCACTTTTGTCTTAGAAATAGTTTTTTCTAAGTCTCAGAGTAACAGTCTTCTACAATAATGCTAACGGTAACACGAGGCTGTAATGCTTTGGACTTTGTTGACATATTTGCTGCTACCAGCTGTTGAACATCATCAGCATTGAGGTTGTTTGTGTAAACAATTCTTGCTAACCCATATTAAAAATATGCATTGTCATGTAAGCTGCATGTCTAGTTTTAGGGCAAATATGTTAGGTAACTGTAGAAAACAATGGCTCCGTCCCAAACCCATACCATGACTAACTCTGTAGAATGTTTCATGTATGAAACTTCTTAGCAACTAATAAACAACTATACCAATAACCATTTTATTCTGACAGAGAATTATACAGTATGTGTGACACTGGATGTCATCAAACCCTCAAACTTTGAAGGCTAATTCAATGACACAAAGAGAGATTTAAATTTTATTGTTTGGCTTTTATTTACCTTGGCTGCTGTTTTTTTTTGTTCAACAACATAATTCAAAACGCAATGAATGGATTTTGATATATTGTTTGTTTGTTAGTTTGTTTATAGGGAGGTAATGTATGTCCGAGGGAACAATTCATAAGATTTTGGTAGCAATTCCAGTTCATTATCCAAATTCCAAAATTTTTTTTAAGGATTCTTCACTACTGTTAGATATCAATTTAAATATCTACAGTATCCCCATAGACAACGCCTAGAATGATAGGTCAGAAATTGCATGGTAACAGCGCCATAAGATCTGCCACACTCCAAAGTCTAAGCTGGATCTAAGTAATATTTTGGAAGTGGTGATCTAAAATGTTCAAATTTATAGGGCTCATAGAAAACTTGCTACTATGAGACAACACATGATACTTGTGACTGAGCTACACCCTGAACAAAAACCACCATTACTAAAATATTGTTTTTATTGAATAATTGTCAAACTGGACAGGTGTCTCGCTCAGTGTCAGCTGGGATTGGCTCTAGCCCCGGATAATGGAAGGATGGGCATTTTATACCAGAAATGGCATCTTGACAGATCAGCACAATGATTGGCAACAACATCATCAACAACAACAAAGGTTATGCTGACATTACTCTGTTCATTTCAGCATATTACAGGATTACAGGGTAAAAACAACTTTCTTTATGTCTCAAAAGCTTCTGCCAAATCACTATAATGTAATATACATTAATGGCAATGGTCAGTGAGCCACAATATAAGTCAACTACAGCCTATAGCAACGGGAGGATTTAGATTACACAAATGTAAACTAAATCAGAACTGACAAACATTTAATTTATGCACATTAAAGCCTATAAACAAAAGTATTAAACTGCTGAAAAAGTGCAAATGCTGAGCAACCACTTAAATGCAAACTACAGTCACACTGCAATGTGAGGTGAGGCCCATCCAGCAGAATTTATGAATTACATGCACTGTATAGATACCACAGGATGGCAGTCAAGTCTCTAGCAGGAGTGTGTTTTGAAGTGAGAGCTAGAAAACTCATGCCCTGCTGCCACTGGTAAAAATCAACAGAGGTTAAATTCAAGCCTCTGGTAGAGGAGCCAAGCTTGAAGGAAGGAATACGACTGCCCGAAGTGGTGCGACGACTGCCCCGAAGTGGTGTGGGTGGGGAATCTTTTATATGTATATATA